TACGGCTGATTGAAAGGTTTTCTTCCATAAAATTAATCGATTCTAGACTAATTCGACTCAACATTTCCAAAACACGTATAATTTTTTGGGAATAATCCGTATAAACTACGCTATAAACAAAAAATTGTAGGATTACTTACCGAGTGTGCACCGTTCGACTACGCCGTTGCTTACGCTTGTTTTCGTCGCGGACCAGCGCACCAAACTGGGCCGCGATTTCTGATGTTATTTTCCTCGAAAACTTCGTTCAACTTTGGAGACATCATTAATATAAATAATTTTTATGGCCATTGAATAAGAAATGTTTCTTTCACAAGAAATGTATAAAATTACAGTGCTGTATTAGACTTACGGTACCTAATTTACATACTGTACAGACGATAGTAAACAAATTACTCGCCTAAACTCTCCGTAGCGTGGCGCTAGACGACGGAAACTATACATATAATTATAATAAAGTTAAAATAAATTAAGTTAGTATATAATTATATGTACAGACGATACTAAACTCAATTTACTCGCATAAACTGTCCGTAGCGTGGCGCTGGACAGCGGAAAGTAGTTCGGCTGCCCGATGACGTTTTACGTAATTATAGGAGTTTTTTGTTTACGGATACCGCCACAATTTTTTTGCCGTCTTATAGGAATCGTAATTATAGGAACCCGTCTTATAGGGGGATCTACTGTACTTACCTGTTTTTTGTTTTTTTTTTTTCAATGTCCCTTTAGCCCATTTAAATATCTATGAACACAATATTTTCTACATAGAAATTTCTAGTATGGATTTTTCATTTACCGAATTTCAAAAATTTACCGAATGTTTTTTTGCCAATTTATCGGTTAACCGGTAAACCGGTATACAATCCNTATATAATTATTATATGTACAGACGATACTAAACTCAATTTACTCGCATAAACTGTCCGTAGCGTGGCGCTGGACAGTGGAAAGTAGTTCGGCTGCCCGATGACGTTTTACGTAATTATAGGAGTTTTTTGTTTACGGATACCGCCACAATTTTTTTGCTGTCTTATAGGAATCGTAATTATAGGAACCCGTCTACTGTACTTACCTGTTTTTTGTTTTTTTTTTCAATGTCTCTTTAGCCCATTTAAATATCTATAAACACAATATTTTCTACATAGAAATTTCTAGTATGGATTTTTCATTTACCGAATTTCAAAAATTTACCGGTAAATTTACCGAATGTTTTTTTGCCAATTTATCGGTTAACCGGTAAACCGGTATACAATCCCTAGTCGTAACGGATCTTGTGCGATGCTTCTCGCATGTGGCACGATACTCATTTGAGGCTACCAAATTTGCAATGTGTCCTTGATAAACCACAGCTTTTAAACATCCACAGAAATGAAACTGCTTTTTCGTTGCAAAATTTTTTGCACTGCAATTACAATACCAACAAATGCCATAACGGAGAGTTTTGATACTATTTTTGTTTTTTGTTTTTTTTTATAGAAATATCTTCCATGTGTAACCATACCAAACTTGGATTGCTATGTCTCTCTCTCTAGATGGTGTCAAATGGCATACTTACTTTCATTTGTAGTTAATTGTCAAATAACAGTTTGCTAATTTTAATTAGAAAATTTATTTTTCTGTCGATCTCTCTTAGGGTTATGATCATAACTTAACAGAAATCATTATAATTAAAATTTATGCTAATTTATAATTAAAGTAATCATAAACTTGAATGATATATTTTGCAAGAGAAAGATAAAAATTAAAGAAAATGAAAGCAAAAACCAAAATTCCTCTTTTGATTAAAAGATAAAGTTTTAAAAATCAATGTAATACTAATATTTTACCTTTTAAACAAATTTAATTTTTAATAATAAAAAATAAATTGTAAAAGTTTTATCCTTAAGATTATAATGCCGTTTTGCAATAGTGATCTCATCTGTAGAGGAACGAGGCAACTCCGATAGAAATTTGACTATGCTAATTGCGTGTCTTGCCGATGCAACTGTTGTTTGGCATTGCCAATTATATTGTTGTCATTTGAATCTCCTAGGCTTTATAGAAAACAGAATATTTGCATCTGCCTCACTTAACTAGAAAAATAATCTAAGAAAGAAGTAAATAATGCCACAAAACTATTTCCTTCCATTTTGATAAATCCATGTTAAAGTAACTGGGAGAAAGAATGGACACAGAGAACACTAAGAAATATAGTGGTAGGCAGAGATGAGACATTTGTGTAATGTTAGATGAAATTTAACATTACATAAATGAAATAAACGCACTCAAAACTTCATTTTTCATTGTGTACAAGACTATTCCTAGTGTAAGATCTTTGAAAATCACTTTAAAATAACAAAATTAGGAAGCAAAATGTGACAACTTTAATATAAAAAGTTAATGGGAAGGTATGTTGTTGAATTAAAGCAACATTGATCAATATTGCTTTACTTCAATATACAGATAAGACCGTACTATATTTGGAAAAATATTAAACCACTGCAATTATTTATTATATTAAAAATACTGATACGACTTTTGTTTACATGGGAAGTTACCAACCCGTCGGCAAAATAAATCGTGTTTCGAGAGCCATCGCACGTATTTGTTGCAGCAAAAGTTTGATCTTGCAAGTTGTATATTCATTATATTGTATATGCATTGTATACAGTTTATATGAATTTCAGTCATTCAGATAAGTAGTATTCCATCATGTTATGCAATTTAAGTTTTTCATTACAGATACCGATTACTATTTTTAACAAGAACAGTTTTTAATGAAAATAAATCCATAAATAAAGACTAGGGAATATTCTATTATAATAAAATGGCTGAAACAATGAAATATTGGCACTTGATGTAAACAGTTAACACTACAAAAAATTGTAATATAGAAAAAGAAATTGTGAGTGTTATGGCATTATCACGATGATAGTTGGATACATAGTGTGGGTCACATGTGTAGAAATGTATGCCATTATTTTTTAGACTAATTTTTGTACTCTGAGAGGTCTGGCACAAAATTAAACCTCTTTTATTTTTCAGAAACAAATACATTCAATAGCTCTAGAAAATATATTTTGAGTATAAGTTGGATGATATCCCTTGTTTGTGGTCTGCAACAGTTGCAGCATATGCATTGACTACTGTAGATTCCAAAGATCTCAGGAATTTGTTGTGGGCCGTCCGTGCCGGATAAATTCCACATCCCGCATGATCCAGTCTACTAAATCACAAGCCCGGCCAAACCCGGAAAGGTTGAAGAAAGGCCTTCTTAGTGCTCACAGGATAGAATGATTGAGAAATAAAAATTGAATTAAATAATTTGCCTAATGTGACTAAAGCTGACAAGTTGAAACTCCTGGATTTATTGTTACACTTTTATATTAAGTCGCAGATGACTGACTTATTGGAAAATTTCCTTGGATGTCGTCTATTGTTTATGTAAGAGTATGTGGGCAATGCAGGATATCATTTATCAATAAATATATTATATGTAATGCCAAATTGAAAGCCTCATCACTGAAATTTTCTCCTTGGCACCAGTTGCAGTAAGTAAATCAAATGTTACCAAAACAAATGTCAAAAGTGACTGCAAAATGAAAGCATTCGTTAATCTGCAAGTCTGTTAGTCCACAAGATAAAAAAAAAAAAAGATTGCAATTGTTGTATGTTTTTTCACCACATTCTAAACTTTTAACTGGGCCAAATATTGTAAATAAAGCATTCTGGTGAAATCATAAGATTCCAGAACATTTGTGGCAAGAGATTAAATAATTCTTTGTTAAATTATTTTAAAATATACATCATATAGCATACCATAGAATAATTTGTATAGAATTTAAGAAACAAGAAATAGTTTTATATAAAATAGTCGCATTTTACAGTATATTTTATATAAAACTACCTCTTGTTTATTAAATTTTGCAATTTAGAAATGTAATATGTTATTCCTAGTTACAATCTCGAATTTCGTATTTGTTTTTATGCTATAAAATAATAAATAACCATCATAATAAAAGTAAAATATTTTATTTACAAAATCATTCTATGACTTGTGCAAACAAAAACATTGCACGTAAAAGTATTGAAATTTTGCTCATGCTTACAAATATCTTGTAACGTTTTCCGGTAGTTCGAGAAATATAATACTCTACAATGTATTTAAATAGGCATTTTTAGCAAACGTTCTCTTTAAACATTTATTGTGCAGTAATTTCAAATTGGAAATTTTTTTTTTTTTAATATTTTTTAGTCAATAATTAAAATTTATCGCACATTTGACAATTACACCTGAAAAGCTAATAATTAATCTTACGTAGATCATGGCTTTTTAAAAGTTTCATATTAAAATTTTGGAAATTAACGGACAAATTAGATTTTGTTATAAAATATAATTGACATAATTGGTTGAATTTAGTGCAGTTTCCTTTGTTGAACTTTGATATAAAAATAAAATTTTAGCTTTAGAAATATTTTAAGCATTCAAACTCATTGGTAATGTATTTATGGTTCTCCATGAGTTATAATGAATTTGACTATAGTTTTGTTTTACATGAAACAGTCCATGATTTTGCAATTAAAAAAACAAAATTATGTAAATTATTGCTTATTATGAATTACTTTAATTCAGACTTATTGCATGCCAGATGCCTTTTTTTTTCCAGTTTTGTTTTAAACAATGAAAATAAAGTATTCGATAATTCAAGCAAAATTTCATGTAACTTTCTTTACACGCAAAATATAACCTAAACCATTTTTCTACTAAACTGATTATAAATTTTTAATCATGCAGGCTAACGTTTCACACAAACAATGAAATTGTGTAAAAAATAAATGCAAGGCGCCTGCGCCTTGAAAAGTTACGGCGGGCATAAGTTTTGTCGGGGGAGTACATTCCTTTGATTTATAGACGACGTCATTGCGGCGCATTCGGACTTTTTCGTGTGGCAATCCGTGTCACGATCGGGCCGTGTCTAATTTTAACTACTGCCATAGGAAAAAATGACGTGGTCTATAATTGTTTTCCCGACAACACTTACAAAATAGTATTTCATTTTTAATTAAAGCGCATCGACGTGGATAACCATTAAATATACTATATTTTTGAGATCATATGAGTTCTCAAATATTTTATCACATTCCGCAGTTGCGAAATCCCGCGCTCTCTTACGAAATTAAGGAAATACTAATGGGAACCATCGAGAGATCGTCCATTTCCATTAATTTCCTTATCGGAGCACGTGCTGCCCTTGGCACTGTCGTTACTGGCACTGCGATGGTAGTGGGGAAGTCTGCCCAGTGTGGTGCTCGGCGTTCCCGGGGTGCCCGGGCCGCCCATTCCCACATAGCGTCCCAGCGGACCGTCGCTTCGCACGTTCATCTCTCCTCTCATGAATCTTTCTAGTTTGTCGACACAGGCATCTTGGTAATCGTGAATCCATCTGACATTATCAAAAAATAAGTTGGATCGTTCATAAAGCAAATAAATAAAATAAATAACTGTAAAATTGTTTACCTGACACCATTAAAGTAGCAGACCGCTCGCATATCTTCCGGTAGAGTTTCCGCTTCCGGCCATTGAAAATTATCAAGTATAGGAATTATATTACACTGACTCTGTAAAGCTTCTACAATTTCCTAATAATAAATATAAGAGAAATTATTATTATTTAGCTTAACTTAAAATATAAATTCTACTAATACTGCAACAAACAAAATATTGGAACAAAGACCGATGCTTTATAAATTTAATTTAATATTTGTTTTTCATTTGGATATAGGCCAAAAAAGTTCCTTTTAGAAATTTTTATCAAACAGTTTACTTTACAATAAACTGATTGTATACTTTCTTGTGCCATCTTTGTACCAGAAAAAAATCAGTATTGTTATTTTAGAATTTTTTACATATTTTGAGTTGAAACTTAAAAAATTAAATTGTTGTAATAAGTGATGCAAAAGTTAAATAACATTTCCTTAGCTCAGAAATATGATAAAATATTTAAATATTTAAATTTTCTTAAAATTTAAATATTTTAATGACTAAAAGTTATTAAATTATTAGCTTGTCAAATCATTTCATTGTCATAAAATTAGAAATATTTTGCATTACATTACAGCTTTGTAATTTGAATATCTCTGCAGTAATAGTAATTTAATGTTGTATTGCACAATAAAAGAAATGGATGGTTTCAAACCTTTTAACTTGAATAATTTATTAAATTATAAAGTTTTGAAAGGTTATTAGAGGACAAATCATAAATACTGTATATATATAAAAATAAATTTCAATTTTTTTAATCTTTTGTAATTCATTTATCAGAAATGATACTTTTGAAAGTAAATGATTTTAAAAGCTAAATATTTTAAATGTGTTATCAGTAATGTTCTTGGTATTGTGGTGTCAGAGATTATTTTTTCCAGCTTCGATAATTGTGGTAATTCTACAGTTAATAGGAGCACCGGAGTTCCAATCTTTGGGAACAAGTGCATTTATAAGACCAAGAACAATAAGATAATGCTTGAAAATGGTAACAACTACAAATGACTAAAAAGTTAATAAACTGTAACTACAAATGACTGAACTAATGCCATGGCATAGTTCAGTCATTTTCTAAAGCATTCTCACATTTCCAATATTGTGTTATGTGATCTGTTGGTAAAAACAATCAGTTTGACAATTCAATAATACCTAAATCAACTGACAAAAAATTTATTAGATTAATTTTATATCTTGCAATTTATATATATCTTTTTTATAAACTATACATTATAAACTGTGTAAGAAACACTAATTCATAATATAATTTAGGCTCTGTGTCATATTTCTTAAACTGATGAATATGATTTTTATGAAATTTAATTTGCTAGAAAAAGCAGCTATACCAGTGAAGCTGTATAGAATTGGATGTAAGGATATGATTTAATGGAAGGGAATGTAGTTGTGGATGGAAAGTGATATGGAGAGTGAATATGAGAGAAGTAAAGCTTGAAAGTACAGTCAATGTTAAAGAAATTAATTGTAAACAAGGCTTTATAATTAAAGAAATCTGTAATACCAATGTCTAAATATGTAAAATGTAGTAGATCAGTAAAAACAAAAGTTAAAATAGATGGAACAATAACTAGAATAAATTGTAATAGTCAATTAAAAACTGGTGTGCAAAACTAAAACTACAGCACACTTACAGTCGGTAATGAGACAAATATGCTGCCAAAATCTTAGAATCATTGTACTCACTTTCGGTATCATCTCTAGGTATGATCAAACCATCTGGGCTGCAAGAGGTGCCGTGAAACAAAGAACACAAAATCATATTATTTACACTTTGACTAGAGAGTTCATCACAGGCCAAAACTTTTTGCACAGAGGGCAGGTACAGCTAGGTATTTATAAATAGGCAGTACTGCTTATTTAATATATTTTTACTAGATGACATCTTATTTCAAGTATTTTTCTTAAAAATGATTGGTATTACATTTGCACCTTATAAAGTAGATTCATTTACTACAGTTGTAGTGCATTCAAAATTTAATTTTCATTTGCTTATCTTGTAGCTCTTAATAATTTGTTTATTAAAATTTTGAAAAATGGCTCTTTTGGCAAAAAAGTAGTCAATCCTTGGTTAACATTATTAATAATTTAATATTTGGAAGACAATCAATGCATAAAAATGCAGAATGACCTGATTATTTTTAAATTTGATTCTAAATATTTGATATTTTAAAAATTGTGTTTAAAAATTGATTCTAATTGACAAATATTTTGGTTATTATGTCCTCAATAAATGATTAAATAAAATTTTAAAAAGACATAAATGTTGAAAAATATGTAAAATAAAACAGTCTTTTAATCAAAAATACTTTTTCAAATGAACTCATAATTGTTAGTATCTACTATTTAATATTCATTGTCCTCATATAATTACAGAACATCATAGTAAGTGTATCTTGGTGCGGGTCTACATTATCCATAATACGGAATGAGAGGTTTGACTATATACTACTTCAAGTTTACAAATTACAGAGATGATTATTACAAAATAATTTTTTTTTTATAAATACTGTTAGAAATGTTATTTTCATTTATATTTCAATATTATTTTATATTCAGAATTGTCATTCTTATACACTGTGCAACTGTTCGTGTTACTGTAATGAAATATCTATAAATAATGTTAGTCTTATATGGAAATAAAATGAGATCAAGAATAGTTTATCCTATGTTTATGAATCATCATTGAAATTAAAGATCAGGCATTTCAAATATTTGATTATTTCTAGATTTTATATTATTAAATTTGATACATCCAAATACTAAAAACTGTAGAAAATGAAACAATGGCATTATATAAATAGGCATATACTAAATGTGCAAATTATTCTTAATAATTAAAACTTACTATTATTTCACATACATTGTCCTTCCAAATCATATTTTACTACACTGCATAATTTTATAAGCATAAAATACTACATACAGTAGATGTAATGATTCTTTGTGCACTTTAGGAATTGTAAATGGAAATATAACAAAATTAAAATTAGTAGAATTATTCACTAATGAAAGAACAAAATTATAATGATGTATACATCCAATTCCCGTAATACCATCAAGTTTTATTAAAAAGATGGTTTTTTACAGCAGAATATTTTTTTAAAATTGTATTTTAAGAAAAATAATTTCTCCAATTATAAGTTTTTAGAAAAATAATTAGCATTTCTTGCAAGAAAAATTGAATGGTGGGAAATTATACAAATGTTCACAAAATTATAAGTATTTTTTCCCTGTGGATAAACTTTCAAAAAAATATTTATTTATAAAGATTTTTTGCATTTTCATTAATTTTCAGTTGATTGCTTAAACATTTGAACTGTAATAGCAAGATTAAAAGTAAGCAGAGATAAAAAGTAATGCAATAATCATGCTAATCAAAGAATTAACATTGTCATCTTCAAACATTCAAACAAGCTATGACTTAAGGCACTACTAATTATGCTGTAATTGGATATCAGTTTATAAGTTATTGTCATATTAAAGTAGTCAAATTAATCTAGAAGCTGTTTTAATTGTTATATCCACGCAACATTAAACAATTTTCTAAGTCTTTCTATCTATCTTTCATTTTGATATTTTGAATGATGACTGCTGTAAAATATCTTTGTATCTAAACCTAAACTTGTCTTACAAAAAAGATACCTGAATTGTCAAAAAAACTTTGACAAATTATATACTTTTTTTAAAATTTTAACTCAGGAGCAGTTGTTGACTCATATTCAGAATCAACAATTCTTCAAAATCTTAGTTATCAGTTGTTGATGCAGTTATTTTTCAATAAGATCTCAAAATAAAAGAAAAAATATAAAATTGTTTTAAACCTATGATTTTGGCTTTGAATTGGCATTTAATCTTTTAAAAATATATTTATGAAAATAGAAAAGAATATCTCAAATTTTTATTGTGAGATAATATGTGAATTACATTATTCTACAGAACTTAATAATGGTTGGCTTCTTATTAACTATATCAGAAAAAAATCTTTTCTATTGATTTAAACAAACTGAAAATTTCAGACTTAAAGTATATTTCAGAATCAGTTAAAAAGTACATAATTTTCCAAACTCTATTTTATAAGATTTCATTTACCTTCTTTGTTCAATTTACTCTATTTATAACTTCTATATATCTCAAAATGATGCTATTAAAGGAACTATAGCCCATACATTTGTGCCAAATGGGAGATAATTTTGTAAGTGGATTGTAACACATACATGAATGATTGGAATGAAAATTGTGATTATGGGAATGGTACAGAAAATATGTGACATGTGAAAGTATAACAGCAATAAATATTTTCACGTGCATTTCATTAAAGAGAACTAAAATTTTGTCAAATAATGGAGTGTTTTGTTAAGTGGTGCAATATTATACGGTGATTGATTGGTTAAGAACACTTTTGCGAAAGATTTTTATGTTAGGACAACAAACACCTCACAGAACAAACACAAGAAGAAGCAATGTAAAACCAATCGGTCTTCCCTTGTCTTGAGGCAACAATTCGAAACTTTTTGGAGCATGGGAGACGTCGACATCGACGCTCAACCTGGTACATACCAATCAGATAGTATTCCTCCGAACTTTGAAATTCTCCCTGGTAATTCCAACCTTTTATTTTTCTGACAGAAATAATTCTTTTATAGTGTTCATGAGACTGGCGAGTGGGCAGTCGTTAACTTTTGCATCGGTTTTTATTTTCGAAAAGTGAGAGTATAATAGCAAAGGAGTGGGCAGATGATGTCTCATGTTGCTGGGCCGCAGTTTAATCTTATCTAAGAAAGATACAGTATAATCAAGAAGACTTAAGCAGTTAAAGGAGTAACAAAAGTCACATCTGAGAAATAAAGAACATTGAAGGGCTCATAATGGAACCTGAAACAGATCTGACAACAAGAACAAGAACTCTTGAATGAAGAACACCAAGAAACTCTGCGAGATATGTTTTCTTCTGAAAAAGAAGATTAATGCATATATCTGCTATTTAAAAAGTGTAATCTTTTGAACAAATGGGAGGATGTCAGAATAACAGTGTTAGAATTGCATGGGTGAGGTTAATAGGCTTGGGGATCTCTGCAATTACAATGTTATTAATTAATTACTTCTGAAAAATCCTAAAGAAGAGAGAAAAGCAATTGACATTAGACAGATTCTTTAACCCCCAAGAATAGAAAAAACATGACTAATAAAAATGCAAGACTGAATATATGTGTTTTTATTATTACATATAAATAAACGTAGTAAGAAAGTATATATTTTTTATGTTTTGGGTCTCCAGAAAGAATTAATCAAATTTCCATAAAAACCTATGGTAAATTGATAATCGGTTAAGGAACAATTCGGATAGCAAACCAAGTCTTGGAACAGATTATGTTTGTTAACCGATCACCCACTGTACTTAAAAAAATTTAGATAAATGTCTTACCTTATGAACCCAGTCCTTGCAATCATTATCATTTATACACCTATCCAAAGCATTGGGTGTTAATACTAATAAAAAATGCTTTGCTTGTCTAATACTATTTAAGAGATTGTTATCGAATTTTCCTGCTTCTAATCGTTCCACGTCGATGAAGACTGAAAATCCTTTTAGTTGAAGGTGCACTTTGAGAAGACTGAAACAAAAAAATCCAATCAGAATCCAAGACTTTTAAAATTTATATATAAATAATTGGAATTATAATAATTTATTTAAATTGTATAAAATAACAATCAAGTTTTTCTTGTATAGAATGCAACTTCTACTTTTTAATTCTGAATAATTTTAATGAATAATTTCATCATATTTTTAATGAAATATATTTATATTTATGATAAAATAATACCTAGCTAATTGAGAGCCATTAGATCTCCTGTAACTAATAAATACATCTAAGCTTTTATTACACACATCTTCCTCTTCTCCATTTTCACTCTGTTGGGCTAAACCTGAAAATTCAAAATTATTTAGAGAATTTATATGAAATTTTAGGTAATTAAGCTGTTAAAAAAGACAATTCATTTTTATTATTTATCTAAAATTATAAATATATTGCTCAAAAATTAAATATTACTGTATATTCATTCAATTTATCAAGCTTTTTATTAAATGTCCTTGAGACATTTTTAAACATCAGTTCTGAGTAAATGAAGCAAATTAATTATAAAATAATCAATGTGTTTATAGCTAGTTTCTTAGTTAAATAATTAATGTATTAGGTGGTCCTTTAAACCAGTGGTTCTCAAAATTATTCCTGGACCACTGGGGTTCTGCAAACGTGCGAGATGGTCCACAGACTGACCTACCAATAGTCATTTTTCCAAATGCAAATCTATGCTGTTTAGCCAGAGAAAAGAACATCACATATCTCTTATATAACATTATCAGGCAATGACAAGTAAAATATTTTGGCATACAATCTAACCTGATATTTACAGAATGGGATATAGACATAGGTGACCTACGGTTCATCTGCCACTCAGTTTAAGCAGTCCATGGTGGGTAATTTCAAGAATCATTGCTGATAAATAATACATTATTTCTTAAATTATGATTGAAATACTGTATTCTAATTGATTTTCCATAAATAGAATAAAATCTTTCTTTAGAATACAAGTTATTGATAAGTAACTAAAACATCAGTCAGTTTGCTTATATTTTGATATTTAAAATTGCAATTCAATCCATTTATTTCAAGATAAAAAATGAGATAATTTAAAAAATAAATGAAAGGAGTAATTGAAAATTCTCTCCTATTAATTTTTTATTGTTAGCTTTATCAATCTTACTGAATAACAGAAAAAGAAACGATTATAAATGTTTTAAATATCAAAAAATTTGAAGTAGGGAAGAAAAAATTACATTTCCAGTACGAAATCTGAGTAAATCTTTGTCTGTAGCTAAGTAGGAATTGATAATCTTCGATTGGTTACAAACAAAGAGCTCGTTGTCCTCGAAAAAACCAGAAGCCAGGTGTGGGACTTTTAGGCGCCAATTATATTTGCATAATTAAGTATTTATTTAGACATTAATCGCTATCGATTGTTAATTTATAAAAACGATGCAATATAAAATTCTAGACAAAAGCATTTTTATTTACTTTCGAACATATAAATTTGATTTTGTCGAAATTATGATGAAAAGATTAATTAAAATATGTATGCCAAGGTGGGTTAATCGATTTAGAGGACGTGTTTGATACGACTACGAATCAAGGAGGAAGGAAAATAAAGTTTTGTGTGCATTGATCTTAAAATAACCGACAACTTATTAATTTAATAACCTTCGAGGAGAATTCGTCGTTTTGTTCTTTATTATGTTTGATATTTGTTCATGTGTAGAATTACCAATCGCTTTAATTCTGTTAATCACTGAATGAAAAAAAAAGATAACGTAATTCTCATTAATGGAGATTTTATCTACTCGAATTACTGTAAATCCGTGTATTTCGAATTTGTTTTTAGGAATATCGATATATTTTTCATGAAGGCAGCATTTTAATGACTATTCTATTTTATATATTAAATCAATCTCGTGACAGTAATAGAAACAAGTACGAAACCGATAATATATTTACACCCGCTGGGGATAAGATAACGTCAAGAATTTAGATTCCTAAATGATAATTTTCCTGTAATAGTACAGTACGAAATAAAATTTTCTTAAATTCCCCTTTATTCTTTTTAATTCTGTATTTAAAAATACACAGTTGACACCCCTCTAAATTATTCTCCCTTTATTGGAACCGGTTCATCTTCCTATCTACAACACCTCTAAATTGGACAGGATTTTGTGGAACCGCTAATGCCCATTTTAGTGGGGGTTAACTGTATTTCGAGTATTAGTAATTCTAGAAAAATTAGTGATATTTCTAGAGTTATCGATTAGAAAGTTAAATAAAAATTACGAATGATAAAATCGATAAAGGACGAAGTCAGTCATTAACTCGAATTTTTAAAATTCGTTTTAACCGAACCAGGTAATTTCTTGAGTATCCCGATAATAGATAAGATGATATCTGATGTTTGTTTAGAAGTCAAATTGCCGGAAGAACAGGCAGGTAAGGGCAATCTAATCCAATCACGCGATAAAAACGATCGATTCTTCTAATGAACGGTTCAAAATTCGTCTTAGGAAGTTTAAAATTTTGAACTATATTAATCGTTTTGCAATAATAATGTCAAAAAAGAACGTGATATTTTAAGGGCAATCGATAATACGACGATTTCTATCTCGCGTGCAATAAAACAATGTTCTAAACTTTATTCCTTCACTCAGAAAATGAAGCCGTGTATACGTTAAACATAATATCTCATTGTGTTTAGAAAGTAAAGTAAAGCGCAACGACTGTGAAATTCGATCTTTTATTTAGACTGGATCTCTCTAATAATTGTTCTTTTATAAAACAATTGTTTCTTGCACCTAGAAGTTTTAAAATTTTGGAATTAGTAGTAGTAACGAAGATCTTTTCCAAGTAAATCGTTACCACACGAAATAAGCATTTACAGTTTATTTATCCAGTTTCAGTGTTAACGTTAACGTTAAAATTAACACACGACAGAAATATAAATTAAAAACATTAACGAGCGTAAGGAAAAAAAAATTAACCAAATTTTTAAATTTTATTACTTAAGTGTATTGAAAATATTTACGGATAAAATTAAATTGAAGAAGCCAAGTAAATAAAAATACAAATATCAAAATTCACTGCTGAATCATTTGTGTCTGAGCATATATTTCCAGCCGGAGTCTTATTTTGGCAAGTAGAGAACCTCGACCAAATCCAGTAATTGTAAAGTTGTTGCGGAATTCCATACCGATGGGTCATCCCCGAGGCATGTTTACCAGCCTGTTTTACTACATTTAACAATGATAATTTTGTACAGATATTGCTGTCTTTCGTGTATTTCCACCTCTGCTATTAATTTGAAATTAATCAAAATTGGAATTTATCCATTTTGTCCGGTCGTTCTAAGAACTAATGCTTATTTTAGCCGATTAAACTTTGGAAATTATTATTATAGAAAGAAAAATTTGTGATATTTTATTTCATATTTATTCTTTCGGTACTTGGATAGAATTTTTTCATAATCAAAGTATGTAATTTTATAGTAAAGTGATTATTATTAATCTAATTCATTTATAAATATTTAATCTTTTTAAAGAAAGGAGTACTTATATAAAAACTTGGATTATTGCTTACTGCTGCAAAAGAATGGAATAAATGCTTTGTTATTTTATAAGAAATAAAAGTTCGCAATAATTACAATTAAAGTTCGAAATAATCCGGTCGGCCCCCCTTGTGGGCCTGGCCGAAACAACGATGGGTATGAAAAAAAAGGCAGAGTAAAAACAAATAATATATAGATTAAATATTCAGCGATAGTATTACCAATTATAGACACGTTATTGTTTCTTGTAATTATAGACGAATTACGAATAAATACGATGTGTACTTATTCGAATTGAGAATGCCATTATGCTTTTATGTCAAGCCAATGTAAATATTAAAGTTAGTGAAAAATATATAACTTTAATAAACTCAATTATTTTAAACGTATAATTCCCAACTTTACTTTGGCGAAACACTTCAAATTTCTCAGATCGTTCGCACATGAAATTATCAGAGAAGCAATGAAACAAAAATAGAAATGTCAAATAAGATGGGCGATTACTAATACCGAATTTTAGAACAAAATTATAAAATATTTTGATTTTGTTTATCATTACGATCGTTTCTTGACTTAACACCAGATTAGCAACTATGGAAAACTGCTTGAAAGTTTTCTGCATGTTTTATGTGATAAAAATATGAACAAGGGACGTCTAAATTTTTATATATAAAATAATATATATACGATTTAAACATTCTTAAATTCTAAACTATGTTAATATTGAGACTATTCGTTCTCTTCATACCTCATGCTTTCTTCTTTAGATATTATATCACGATTTAATTTTAGAGCTCTTGCCATGTGTTTCGTAACAGAAAAACCTTTTCTACATAAACGAATTGATGGTTCAAATAAGTCCTTCCATGGTAACTTTTTTGCGGAATTTTCGTATGCCTTTTCGTAACCAACCAATTCTCCTGGAACTGCGACTGCTAGTCCCCCTACAACATTAACATCGATACAATATATTTAATTTTGTTTTCAAAAATGTACAAAAGCAAAAGAAATAGTTGCAAAATAAAAATTAATAAAGCATTAAAAATACGCAAGCAGCAACGATCTTTGTATGGCGACATACACAAAGATGAATTGTATTGTCTCCACACCACACCACAATTAGATTCAACTGTTTCCATGTAGGGTCGAATCCCGCAATGACAGTAACGAGGTTGCGGCTGACGTTTTCATCTCTAAAACGTCGGCTGCCACCTCGCTAGTATCTCGTGAGATCTACCATGATTCCCACAAAATCTACTCTCCAGTGAGAGTAAAGTTTCAGAAGCCTTCAGCTCTCGTGAAGGCAATTGCAGCTCAGTTCGATTTAGGAACCTAAGCTACAAACTCACCCAAAACGGTTTAAGTTTAAATCTATTTTACAAAATATTTCACGTAAATGCCATTTTTATAATATAAACGATGTTATGTTATTTTACGTACCTACTTGAGAGCCTTTTGGGTTAGTCATAAACATAGTTTCTGTTGCATACATAGGAGCTGTTTCCCTGGCATCTATTACTATTGCGTCCANTTTGAAAATTACGTGAGAGTAACATTATTGGAACCTAATTCATAAACATTGTATTGCAGTATGGAGAATTCATTAAGTAAATTCTGAACAAATCGTTATAAGCGAAATGTTAAATAAGACCGATATTTCTCAATAAATAACTCAATTGTTACAGTGCCTTACGTTTCATATTTAAAAACTGCTCGTTCACGAATAGTTAAAAACATATTAAAATCGTATTGTAAACTTCACTTCCATTCTATTGTATAAGTTATTTATTAAACTTTCAATTAATCATTTCACCAATTTTATGTACTTTTTATTTTGTGCATTCTTTTTTCTCCGTGAGATTACTGTATAGAATTATGCGCCAATTGCGCATCGATGTATTTCTCTCATTTCTAGATATATATTGTTTAGTAGTGGCCGAAGAACCTTCGATGGCGTATCTACCGTAATCAAAGGATGCGATTTAGTAATTAATAAAAGTTTCGCTTATATTATTAAAACTTATGATTTAAAAGGAAATGAAAATCAAGCAATAACTGTTTGGTGGGATACGGCAATGCAATACAGGGGAGGACTTTCTTTCGGAAATTGGATCATATTTAGATATTACACGAGTGAAGAAAACCCGCAAAACTCCACGCGGCCATCCAGCAGGTGCGAACCCACCACCGGCGTTTAGTGGTTTGATTTTCTCGGCCATTGCTAGACAACTCGAACAATAACACTTAAAAAATGATAAAACTGATTAATGGAAAGTATTTAATATAAATATTAATAAGAAATTATTCTATCATATTTTATAATGGCTACATAATTTACTTTTATCTTTACCTGTTATAATTACTGGAAAAAGATTAGTAAACAAGCATTTCGGCTGTAAAATGTTAAATAAAAAACTGTTTTTTTGGCCTTATTGTTATGCTGTATTTGTTTTTCGCGCATTGATTACTTGAATTAGTAAATCTGACAAATTATAAGCTATATAACGATTACATACATATGTATTATTAATAAATATGTACATAAAAATAATAAGATATTAGGTAATAAAGTACGTTTTCAAAATTCAAACGAAGATATTTCGAAGAGTCAATATACAGTCAATAATATACCGTATATAAAAATTCGAAAAGAAACTTTTAATTAAAAGTATTTAATTTTTCTGTAGCGTTTATACATGTGTACTTCTATGTGTGTGTGAGTACTTTTGTTGTGATTGTGTGTTCGTGTACTTACTATATTTACTAACCTCTTTTAATTAAAGTATTAAATCTTCATAACAGAGTGAAAAGAAACTGTCAAGTAATTTTTCATATAAAAGCTATTTTTAAGGACCATCCAAATTTCGCGAATTATAGAAGACATTATTTCTGGAATTAAATAATCTAACTCTAAAATGTTCTACAATACAAAAAATGATGATCATCTATGTAATGAAGGCATCAAAAATGTCGTTGGAGTAATTACATTTACTATATTTAGTTGCATTTATCTTTTATTCCTCGCGGTTATTACGATTAATGGGATCCTAATGAAATTAACGGGTTAATTAAATTATACGGTGTATGTGCCCAATTAGATTGGCTTATCAATTTATAAAAATATATTCGAATTCTTCCCGAATATTACAGATTTTAAATAAAAATACAAAATTATAAAATGTTGCAGCTGTCCGGGAGATTTTAATATTTAATTAGGTAATTTAATATTGATGAAAAATATAACTTGTATTGATAACTATTATTTAAATAATTGATCGTCTTCACTCGAGACTAACAACACTTTTTGAAGTTTAAAATAAAGTTCGATTTAACGTCTCCTCAACTGACATTAAATCGAGTGTGGCGCTAAACCGAAGCGTCTGAAATAATAAATTAAGGTCTACGTGATTTGGTAATCTTACTTGCAATGTTAAAGAATTTTCTGCTTAATACTACGTTACTCACGCTTTATTGAAGTGGCGTTATTTAGGAGGGCGCTATATCGAGATTTGGTTATATCGTATATTTGTAATTATCTGAATTATTGAGTTTTCTTTCCTATTATTTAAAATGATTTACTATTTTGTTTTCATTCTATTACAGTTAATTATATTCATCTAATTTCTCTAAATGCCAAAAATCCATCCCGCAAATCACACGTTTGAATTTAATTTAGTAAATAGAATTATCAATCAGGGATGACTCACACAGGTCCTATCTAGTCCATGGGTTTATGCTTCGATATTATTTCTGTATCGCATCAGCCTTCAATTTACTCGAAAGCGTTCAAAAATTCAATTTCGCCAGATTTTAAGGATGAATTGCGTTTAATGGAATTTTGATTCTCAATAAAAACTGGATTATATCAAAGTTTAACTCGAAACTACAGTAATTTATCATCTAGATTGATAATTATATTTACGGTTGTCGCGATTATTCTTGTCAAATTTGTAACAAATTGCTTTTTATTGTTTCTCGATTTACGATTTGCCAATAAACCTAGATTCGTTTTTTTTCATGTGCTGTGAATTCGCTCGGATAAATGCAATAAAGGTCTATAAAATTTTAATTTAATTAGAAATGTTTTTGAATGAATCTATTCGGAAATCGTAGGAAGAATAAAAATTCTGCTTTGACAAGACACTAATACGTGAGGCCAGAATTGCAGAATTTTAGTGATAGAAGAGTTTGAAATGAGCAAAATAAAATCGAAAGCTTACTGCCAAACTACATTATTATTATTGTTTTAATAATTTAAATTTCTTCAGAGCATAAAATCCTATAGTACAAGTATAACTGTAGTCGTATTTATTCAAATCTGAAAGTTATTGATGCCAAGAGTAAAAATTTATACATCTCTTGGCTCAATAAGATAGCTTTCAGTTTGTTATAGGGCCTGATAACGGTCTGAAAACTAAATATGTAAGCCGAAAATACAATATTATACATTGTATTTGAGGCTTACATATACAATTATTATTGGAATAGTTTAACAGTGAATGCATAAGGACGTTTTCACGATAAAGTGGATGAGATAATGCGGTTATTAAGTTCAAAATGTAATTGTTTTTAAATGCAGAAGGTCTTGTGAATCATTTTCCGTATGAAAGATCAAATATATTATCGTATATTAACAAATATCATTATCATTAACGAAACTTTGCTGATGATTAAGAGGAGATTAATTTAAAATATTTAAAGTTAATGAATATTAATACCGGTTATAATTACAAGTTTCTAGGAAGATTTTAAATATAACTGTAAATATATTAGTTTTTGCACTCGGTATTAATTATCATAATATGTTTTCTTACAGTTTTATAAAACAGAGTCGAATTATTATAAGAAATATGGAAATATCGATATTATAAATTTATGGAAGGTAAAATTTGACTTTTTCGCTGGATTAAAATAAGAATATTCGCCCAATTCGATTACATAATGCAACAAAATTGAAATTGATATCTAGTAATGCTTAAATACGAGCAGGGGAGAAAGAAAACACTATACATGCGACCAGAGGATATTAAGTTTTCTCCTTGGCAGTGTAAGGTTATTAGGAGAAAAAAATGTACAGTTAAGATAAGAAACAAGTTGTATCTGGCCGTTCAATGACAGATAAATGATGATAAATTGTAAATATTAGCAGCTATGTCACCATTTAAATTAAACAACACATCCGGGTGGTTTTATTACATGTCAGTTAGGCAGAGAAAGAACAGGAGAACAATGGACACGAAAAGGCTAGATCGGTCAAGGTCTTATCTCGCAAACATTCAGCATAAGTCTATAATATTCATTCAAATAAATTCTATTAATGGTGTGAAGGAATCCACAAACGATGACAACAAAAACGATAAATCTAGAAGTGACCCGAATAAAAAAAAAATTAATGATTAATATTTTAGAAGGAAGTTAATTTTAGCACACTTGCATTGTTAGTCGGGTACAGATATAAATATTTCACGGCAGCAGCAAAATTAACAATCGCTTAAAATGATTAATTGTTATGGAAACTTTTTCCGAAAAAATTATATCCGATATTAAATTATAATAAGGCATACTGTCACAATAAGTATTATATTTATCTCGAATTTCTTGGTTAAACGGAGTAAAATGTAATATATAATATACAGAAAATCAATCCGTTAAACTATTTATATATTTTTATCACAAATGTTTTTATGGCCTGGTATAAAAGAGAAGATAAACAATAAAAATTAGAAACAGTATTCAGACCCGTTTTATATTGATTAAAAAGTTAGGAGCGAAAAACATTTGTTAAAAATTAAACCTATAACCAATTTATTGATATACACTCCCCGTACACACGGTGACCCAAAAGTCAGTTAACCATTTTTTGTAAGATATTCAAACAATGTTTGCTAGAAAGTCTTATAATTTGTATCAATATATTGATATGAGGAGGATCTGAATTTGAGCATTTTTTTTTTCATAATTTGCGAGTAATGAAGTATTTCAATAAGACAGAGATTTAGTCTTTTACGATGGTTAACTGACTTTTGGATCATTCTACATATATACAGTATAAAGAAGAGCTGGAAATAAGGCCCAAAGAAGCAGTTAACTGTTGAGAATGCATTTTTAGTTTAGTTTATTTTTCAAGTTTCTGAGCTTTTAACTGGAGGGAATAGAAAATAAAAGAAGTTATAAACTTAGAAATTTGGTCCTTTCTTATGTAGAGATAAAGGTGAGCCGATGTTTAAATAAAAATACATACTTAATGGAAATTTAAATTTTAAATCTTGTTTGGCTGTTCAAAATTCACTGCTTAAATTTAATGATAATTCTTTCAAAATTTTTTGTTTAGCCTGGAGAAATTCGTGATTATAGCAATTGAAAAAATGTGCTCACGATTAATCTGTTAGATTTGCCATTCTGTGACCAGAAGTGTGCATATTTTATTACGTTAAATAAAAGAGTACTTTTAAAAGTATAGATTTTCCTAATTTGATTCTATTTTAATAACAAAAGAATAATTTCTGGGCAGTGTTCGTTTTTTGAAATAAGTATAAGGTTCGTGTTATTAGATATATCCAATTACAAGAAAGAAAGAGGTAGAAATCTTGAAGTTATTTCTAAGAAAACTTAGTGAAATGAAATCACAATTTTAGGTATGCGAATTGTGTTTTTTTGAATTAATTGCGTAATACAAAGTTTCCTTCAATGAACAAGTATCGATTGAAAAAACCACATTGCACTTACCTCTAATTGCTTGGACAACCCTCAGCCTGTGAATGCTATTGTCCATTCCGCAATCAATCGCTAATTGTTCTTCGCTTAAATATTTTAAAGTATCTCTCTGTACTCCGCTGTGAAGCATCCCGTAAGTATATTGACAAAATTCTGGTCCCAACGAGTGTAATATTTGGTTTAAATTAGTCGAATCGCAAGACGTATAATCGGCCATTCTCTTCAGTTGATTGAGTTCGCGCAAAAATCTAAAATATGGAATAGAATTCTAACATTAAAATGAATATATAAACACTATCTTGTAAATCATCTAAGTGAAAATTGCTAAAACGTTATGAATTTTACCTCTTCCTGAGAATCCCATTTTTAATGCCAATGTCATCTTTTAACATGCATTCTGTCAATTGCAACAAAAGATCTCCATCCACTCTTCCGTTCGTAAATTCTTGACAATATTGAGAGAAACCAATCTGAAAAAAAATAAATAAATAATTGAAATTATTAACTTTTTTGTGGAATATTTTCAAATATTTAANGATTCACGGCCAATACGGTTTATGCAGGGTGTGACATACACGAATGTCCAATCAAGCAAGTAGAACAAGGCGTGGCTAACACCTTTTAACAAATCATGTTCAAGGATATTTACCATTGTTTTATTGGTTAGTAACAGACCAATACATTTCGTGTTTTGTCTCTCAACTTGAAAAACTTAATCAGTACACACTTTAAACGTGACAACACATAAACGGAAAATACATTTAACGATATAAAACTAATTTTTACATATTTACAAGGAGTATAGAAGTAAAGAAATGAAATAATATGTTATCCGTGAATATTAACAAGTTATAAATGGGTCAATTTATTTAAAGTAATTTTTCTGTAATTTCATACGTGTTCACTAATTTAGAACACTAATTTTGACATATTTAAAACAATGCTTGTATTGACCATGTTTTATGAAATTAAGAGTGGGTGCCCACCTAATACATCATTAAAAATAAACAAACAAACACACGCATGATTAAATTCTACATTTTCTTATGTTTACAGGATTTCGGAGTGGGGAAGGTAATGGAGGTGGGGCCAGGGGCCACTCCTAAAACGTCATTAAAATGCATTATCATCATTGTTATAGTCTTTAGATACGTTCTCAAAGTTTCATCTTTCTATCTTAATTAGAAGTGGATGAAATACGAGTTGCAAGGTTTGAACACATTACAAGGCAAGTTAAACAAAAGAATTTAATAAATATTTCATGTTCAAACAGATTCAGAATGTAATAAGTATGCAGGGTGGTCCAAAAGTAAGTTAACCATTTATCAGTTTGTTTTGTATGCTCCAGATGCAGTATATTTTTGAATATGAATCGTAAAGTGAATTTATTAAAGAGTGTAACTAATAAAGTATTTGAAAAAAACAAGTTATTTACGGGTTTTGAGAGACCGCACATAAGGAAATTTAGTGCTATTCACTAAACTTCTCGAAATACTTGAAACAATGTTAGAATATTATTAAGTAAAAATATAAATTTATATAAACGGTTCACAATTAAGTTAAAAGAAATTTCTGTAATAATATTTATCATCTGACTTTAGAAATGAGAATTTAAAATGCGTGTCTACCTAATAGTTTTTAACAAATAAGGACAGCAAAATTGAGTACCTACAATCTTCATTTTAAATTTTAGTTAAGTGCTTTTACAAGTTGTTCCAAAAATTAGTTTACCCAAAATGTCGGACTGCTGAAGCATTTGTACGTTTTGATAGCAATCTTTTATAATACTGTATAATGTATATCAAACGGAGAATCTCGTCTTAAGTAATTTTTATAAACTTAGTAGAAACTACAACAAACGGTTAACCGATTTCTGGCCATTCTCTGCACAATGTTAATACTAATTAATTTTCATATCTACATAGAAGAACAAAGTATAATTTTATATTTATCGGATTAAAGCAGACTTATCAATGCATATAAAAAATTTACTAATTTAAATTTTTAAATGGGACATTTCATCTATCCATATTATTATTTACGTGACATTATGAAAAAATGCATTATATTTGAATGGCAACGAAATACATAATTATTAATTAACGCATGCTTAAGAATGGCTTTCTTGCTGAACCATATTAAGTCTATTTAGAAATAAATAGATTTAATATGATTCTTGCTGAATCATATTAAGTCTATTTATTTCTAAGTTATTAAGTTTATATATTAAGTTGATATAATTTAGATCCTTTACATATGAAACTAATTATTTCATTGGTTCGCTTAACTCTTGTCATCTATATACACCCAATAGGGTAATTTTTACAAGTACAGATTGTATCATTTAAATTTACATAATTTTTCGAAAATAAACATTTACTTTATTTTTATGTAATTTCGAGCAATATATCTTCATAACCTTTCATTTATTCTAATAAAAATTAAGCTATGAAACTAGCTAAGTAAACAATGGAAATTTAATGTAGTTTATATTTACATAACTTTCCATATAAATCCAAGTCAAATGAATGTAAATGTAAGACTTGGAATAAAGAAAAAACTCTTTTTTCCCTCCTTAATGGTGAATTAATTCATATAATTACTTTAAATAACAAAGTAATAATCTCGATCGAGTTTGTTGTGTTGTATGTGTCGAGAAACGGAATTAAAGCATTCGTTAATATAAAAATTGATATTTTCAAACGAAATTATATTTATATTTATTTTGTTATATAAATTTACAGACGGGAAGACCGTAAAATATAAAGTTAAAACTTAATATGGTTCTCCGTTTGATGATTTTTTCGACCTTGAATGAGGATAGCCTTCGACTATTCATTCATACGCCGAACAGGTTGAGAATGTCCTTATATATTCTTCATTATAAAATTTTTACGACAGAAGGAAAACAGCAGAAATAAAATTTCTTGTTTCTAGATTTATTACATAATACTGTACCTGTTTTACCCATTCTCTAACGTCTTCCACCGTCCACAAGGGAACTTGCTGAGATAATTTATGAGGTACCTCTTCCCCTATTAGTTGCAAAGCTTGCGCCGCATATTTTGATGCAATTGCATTTGGAGAACTGGCAACTTTTTTCAATACGTCGATTGCGCCTATTTCGTGAAATATCTGGAAAAATTAATTTAGTTAGTTCGAAAATAACGAAACGTGGTGATAATTGAAAGTTTGCGTGTTACGACTTGTCACACTTACGGCTGTATTTCCTTGTTTTTTCTTGATCCCAGCTTCCATAGCAAAATGAAAGGCAGCTAAACTTCTAGCTTCTTCTCTCTTGCTATTGAGTACAGGAACCAACCGCAAAAGCCAATTTTTCGATTGTCCGTGTACGTGGGCTACTGTACTATTGGCAAATTCTTCCGGATTGTGGCTCATTACAAAAGGGTCTACCAGATCTAAGGTACCAGATCTAAGAACGGCAGCTTCGATTTCTTTATTGGCGACTAGAGCTGTGATTGCTAAACAGGCGTAATATTTAATATTATCGTCGTTGTTAAAGGCTAACGGAAATAACCAAACAGGAACTTTGTGTTTAATCATTGCTTGCTGGTTTTCGGAACCCCCGTATAAAGATAAATTAGCCAGAGCAGCAGCGCAGTGGCGTAGCGTTTCTAGATCACACGTTCTGCAATCGTACAAGATGGCTTTTAGTCCTCCCATACGAATGACATCACTGCATGTTGCTTCAGAATGTTTAAACATGTTTTCTAAGATACCTGTTCCGACTCTAGAATGTATTAAAGAATTCTGCATGCTGCAAGCGCATGCAACTTTCACCACTTGTTCTAGGCCGTTATCGGAAACGTAAGCTCTGTTTTCTGTGCTAAGGCATTGTTCTAATAACTGGGCACTGGAAAACTGAAGATCCGCATTTTCGGACGTGCAATTCTGAATTAAAATGTCCAGTCCTCCTTTGTTCCTCAATATATTACACATGTTGAAACCCAAATCGTGACCGAAAGTCGGTACAGCCCAAGCTTTTCTTATGATGTCGTTCATCGTCTTGAGAAGTGCGGTGGCCTCTTCCGGTGGTGCAATTTTTAATTTTTCCACGCAAGTCGTCATTCTCCCTCCAAAGCGATTCATAGCTAATTCGATCTCTGGCTGGGAAGCCGGCGAACTCAAAATCTGCAGATCTTCTTCCAGACCTTGCGCGATTGCTAATCTATGCGAAGCTGGCAGTTCGAAAGGATCGAGACCGGGACAAGATAAGGATGAAGACATGCCTACGGCCGAAGATGAAAGGCTACCAAATTCGGCTTGATGAAGACATTGACTCGACATAGACGACTTAGTTATGCCTTTGGAAGTGATGGTGATTCTAGCCGAAGATGACGACGACACGTTCTTTTCTTGTTGCACCACACCTTTCGACATGACGTGCAATTCTTCTTGTTTAGCCATTGCTATCTTTTCCGACGTGAAATCTTCCGTCGACATTTTCATAGCGGAAGCCATGGCCACTCGTTGTTGCTGTTGGACGGTATCGCTAGTTCGTAATTGTTTCTGATCTTGTCTCAAGGCGGCTATTTTCTCGGATGAGAATCCGTTCCCTTCTACTTTTTCTTTCATGGCTGCCGCTGCGTGCTTTTCTTCGTAGCTTATATCTCCGGTCTGTACTCTTCTCAGTTCTTCTTTACTCGCCGCCATTTTGGCAGCCGAAAATCCATCGGCAGTTACCTTCATTTTCGATGCGGATGTCGTTTTCTTCTGTTCGAACTTTACCTCCTGTGGGACTAAATCGTTCGGTTCACTTTCTTCGGCTAGCACGTTTTCGGCAGAAAAGGCTCTTTGTGTACTCGATAGCATTTTCATTCGAGAATCCGTACTGGAGCTGCTGCTACTGCTGCTACTCGTCACACTGACACTCCTGCTGAAATTTCTATTTTCGTGTTGCTGTTGCTTTAATTCTTGGCTAGAAACCGAATGTAGAATTTGAGATTTCTTGCTAACTAGTGAACTACTAGTGCTGGAAGCTGTGGCAGTACTCTTCACCATCTGTGAGGTAGATGAAGAGGTAGACGTTAATTTTTCGGCACTGGAGCTAAATGCGGATGTCGTCATCATCGACGATGAACTACTGTTCATTTTGTTAAGTAGTGTGGCGGATTTCTTTGAGAAATTTTCACCCACCGTGGACATTGTTGACAAATCTCCGTTGGCCGACATTGATTTTTGAGAAAGAGTGGGATCTGACGGGAAGTCAGATATCTGTAAAAAATAAATAATAAATATTTAAAATCCATAGCGTTATTTTAGGCTATTATAAACAGAAATTCCTTCCCACCTAATTTAAAAATGAATAATTATTTATGTACACAATATAAAATTATTAATTTAACAAAAACGTCTTAAAAATCTAAATACTGTATATAAATTTATTGTTTTAAAATCTAACTTAGAAAATACTTTTATTATTTGGGCGATTTGTTCGTTCACTTAGTTACAATTAACAATGTAAGTGTTGTAACTAAGTGTAAGTAAGTATTATAGTATACGTTATAAGAAATGCATGTTAACATCAATATTATTTATATACTACATAAAATTACATTAAGGTAGGGTACTTAATACTTTTATATTATAACTATCGAACAATTTTAATTGCCTAAATTAATAGAAATTTGAGGTTATAAATACATTATTTTAGAAGTTCTAAATTGAATAAAGTTTATTAAATCAAAAATAAAAAACAATATATGAAATCTAAGCGCATAGATTAAAAAGAAACAATTTATAAATAGCACGGAGTTCAATTATAAATATCGAATGCATTTATTTTGCAAACATATTTTGAATGTATCATAAACAATTAAGATATTTTAGAACACGATACACGCACAAAAAAATATTTATCGGCATTGACAGATACCTCAATAGACGTTTACCAAGCGATTTCGGTCACTATTTCCTTTTATCAATGGAACGTCATAACAAGAGACTTCCACGAAACTCATCAAATAATTGGCTCTCGACCAATCTACTCGAAGGTCACCTCTATACTTAAAGCTTCATTTTCTATTAGTACTAAAACAGTTTATTAATGAATAATCTTCTGCTTCATTAAAATGTACGGCGGTGTTTCCTACTCCTCTCTCTCGCCGGCTGTTACTAAACAATGATACACAAAGAGGACGTGCGAAATGACATATTTTGTCGCCGAGCTTATAGATCAACGACCGAATTTTTGTATTCGAAAATAATTATATTCCGTGCATATATTCTATTGGAAGAACAATAGTTAAAAGTTAAAATAGTATGGGACTAGAATAGCGATAAAACTGTCACAATAGAATGACGTCATGGAATTTTTGGAATTCTCCGTCCTCGACGTTAGTTAAATGACGAAAAAGTGATTAACTACTCACGGTATGTTTCCCATTGCCTAAAACTCGATTACGGCTAAGTATTGTCACGTGCATGCTAGCGTATGCTCTACTTGACTCCCCGACTGTCCGTGCAGAAGTACGCGCTTTGGTATGCTTGGTATTTCAAGTACGACTAGTTGTTTAAGGTAGCGAAATAAGCGAGGTCGACCGCGTGAGGGACGAGCTATACACGTGAAGAACCAATTAAATCCATATACTAACGATTATTTAAATTAGGGATGAATACGTTGTCAAGGTTCTTTAACAACCTATACACACGTTAAAAATATAATCGTCAGAAGTTTTGTTTCTTCTTTTTAAAGATTTAACGCAATTATAAATTATGTCGTACAGTAATCGACTAACTAGACAAGTAGTAAAGTTATCTGTTAAGGAGAAACTCCTGTACGGAATTTTACCTTCGATAAGATATTTATTGGTCTTTAAACTTAAAAAAAAAGTAAAAAATGAATCTTTATATTTGTTACAGTAAATGACCTAATTGATAAACGAGTGTGAAATTTCCCTTGTGTAAGGAAGAATTCGATTTCTATTCTCGTATGAGTACGGAGAAAATAATAGGAAGTTATATTTAAACAGCAAACCAAGACTTGTATTATTGAATCCATTGGCTAAATCGATTGTTATAAGACAATATCTATTTGTACTTACTTATAATTGGCGGTCTTCGACCTTCTCCCTTTGCCCATCTACCACCGATTGACTTTATTGCGGTACAAATGCCCCCTTTATCAGCGCGAGACATCCTGATTGTGCCTGAGTCACTTACCTGACGTCATGCAGTAAAGTTAAGGAGTTACACTCCCCTGTACAACGATCAATGATCGAGTATGGATGACCCCCCGCCTACTAATAAATTCGTTATCGTACGATACGACACTCGATACCGTTACTGTTTAATTACTACCCGCGTGGAGATTTTCATGAACTATTCTAGTGTAACACGTATCGATTTTTTGCAAAAAAAATTATTCGAAAATTTAAGTCGTTTCTGGAAACTGACATAAAAATCGAATGTCCTACTTACGAATTGACATCCTTCATTTTTTAAATTCGAATTCACGCTCACTTTTCAGAAAATAATTTCCAATGATCTATATTTAAACCTGTAAATATTGGAAAATAACGTACGAAATTTAACACCTGTATGACGCCATACCACCCACCGGTTTCAATTTTTATTGAATACCTGTAAATTTTTACACAGGATGTGTCCGAAGTGATTGGAATTTTCCAAGTTTATTAATAGTTCGTACCTAGTGAATCATACGGTATTATAACTTATTATTGAAGAAAAATAAATATTTCAAAATATGAGTGCTCTGACATCGTATAAAAAAACATTTTAGCATAAAAATGCACCCAATAATACAACAGGATATACTTCGTAAAGATGTTACTTAAATGGGTTAATTTCTGTGTTTCTATTGTTTATTTCCTACGAATTCGATACGACAATTCCGTTATGTATCACACACACACACTGCATATTATCTAGTAAACGTGTATTGTACAAAGCACATACCATTATCCATTATTACACTATCATTAATTACGTTACTTAAACACTTGGTAATAGTCATTTAAGGTGGGTGAATTTCTTTTTAAAGACAGGAAATTGTTTAAGAGAACAAACTGTCCAAAGATACCAAAATAGGATAAACGGACAGCGTAGGATAATGTTTAATATCCTTAGTCACTTGTAATAAATTCAATATAGGAAGTCTTTAGAAGTAAAATAATTAATTTTTTATATCAGTTATGACTTTTTCACAGGAAAACTTCACGAGTTTATACTTTATTATAATAGCCTACTGTATTGTGTTTAAATGCCAATCACTTATTTGTCGTTTACACAGGCAATAATACAGTTAATTAATTATTGTTTGAATTAAAGAAAATCTCTATTTATACACTTTAATTTGACCAAAAAGGAATTTTAATTACTGTAAAAATGGAAAATAATTTAATACTTTGTTAAGAAAAAGAGACATCTGACTAAACTGATTACGGCAATTTTTACGAGAATTATTCATACGGATTACACGTATTATGAAAATTCAAGTTAATAGCAATAAAACTCCGAAAGTTATTTAATGTAATTTCACATAAACAAATGTATAAGTTGTGTAAGAGTAACCTATATTTTTCAATTTATATACAATATCTAATTTTGCATATTCATCCAGCAATCTAATTTCGTATAATTTTATACAGGAAACACAAGTTCTAAATTTTCAATGACTCAAAACTCGTGTTTTAGTAATGGAAAAATCGATGAGAAAACGTTATTAATTTCGCATCCACTGGGCAGAATTTGCTCCCTTCCTTCGAATGGAAGAGGGAAGCCAATTGTGCGAATGGTTCCTAAGTTACGAACATGGACTCGACCTTTAATTTTGGGCTAAAAATAATTAGCCCGTAATTAATCTTTTCTTTCGTAATTATTAAACTGATTTACGCAACAGAGCTGGCATTGTAACGAATTTAATCACCCGCCACACCTGAAATCATTCACCGTAAATTATGTACAAAATGATTCATGCCTATCCCACATCTAGCTCCGAGTTGTAAGTCATTGCCCGGACGAGATTTTCTAAACAAAGATCTAGCCGATGTCAAAGGTTAACGAATGATATCATATCCTGTGGTACTCTCGGATTCTCTATGTGACTCGCCAATCCATTTACCAGTTTATATTTCTCGCTTCGTGACAATCGGGATTAAAGAATATTTAAAAAAAAAACTCAATAATTTTCAATTAAATATTCAATTTCGAGTATTTAATTAGTTACGAGAAATGCAAGAGAATTTAATATAAGCAATACAATGCATAAATTTAATATATCGAATCTAATTTCTAGTGTACTTCGTTCGCTAGCGGTTAAAAAAATAAAGATATTTAAGTAAAAAAAAAACCTGTACAGTTTGTTGTACGTCAAACGGTTGATAATACCTTGACCTTCAATAATACCTCTAGCAAAACAGACTGGCAAATCGACATTCTACGTCACAATTGAGATACCACACTTAAAATCGACCATCGATAATTATTTTTTGAATTACAAAACCTGGGTACCCAAGTATTAAGCATTATAAGCATCGTGCACGTCACAGGTTTGAATTAATATATTTTATTACAGTCGCGCGACAGGCAGGTTTAACAAAAAAGAAAGAAAATAAAAAGAAAAAAAAACTGGTAATGAACCGCACCCCGGCCAGACTGGCGTCAACGATGCAACCTTTTTTTTGTTTTGTTTTTTTTTTTTTTAAATTTTTTATTCTCACCGGCTTTTCTGTTTTAAATGCGTGATTACCGGAGATATTTCAAAAGTAAGTATTATAACTATACGCTAAAAGAATCGCAAATATGTGTCAATATCGTGTCACAATTTGCTCGGCGACAAGGACCACGTGCAACGTGGGCACAGCCCCGACAACTCCACCCTTCCTGTGTTTTCATCCTAGACAACGCCTGTGTCCTTTCACCCTCTTTGGAAGTTCTTTTTCGAAACATTGCGGAAGATATTTTAAATGTAAATAAATTGTTTCTATGTTCCGTTGTAGCTGTAACGCCATTCGTCGCCGTAGCCACGTAGCAGAGTTCAAAGGTCGTTATTGACGAAAAAAATAAATAAATATTAAGAAAACAAATACGTTAGCAGAAAATTTCTGATATATTTGCACGTTAATTGCCGCGATGAGTTTTCATTTTTAGTTTCGACCATATTGTTTTGTACTCTTATACTTCTGCGAAGAATTACAAAGGAATTATTAACTATAACGTCACAATGACGCAAAATGTGTATTATGATCATCGAATTTCGAGTTGTTTTGAACGTTTCGAATTTAAAAAATAAAAAGATTAATGCACTCGTAGGTATTTTTATAACACTATGCACAGATGAATTATCTAAAACATAACATTTACAGTATGTAAATATAGGTAAACACACGGGAGTTCAAGCCTGTTAAAGGTATGGCGGGACCAAACAAATGGCCTGTACCCCTCGTTACAGGAACTGGTTACGTGTGGCGAGAATTTAAAAAAAAATTGTTCAATAAGTACTTTAGAATAGTAAAATACTAACAACGTCTGTCCATTTTATTACCTTAAATTTTTCACTCGAATTTATTTTTAAATAAATGATACGTCTATTTATTTTGAATATTATACGTATTCAATTTCGAACTGTCAGCATATTAAAATGAAGCAGACATCATCTGTCATTGTATTCCAGTTTGGATAATAATATTAACAACAATACTTACTTTGTCATAAACATGGTGTAAATTTAATTAAAATCAATAATTCATGCCCAAGTTAAAAATTCGGTAAAAAAATCTAAAATCGATAATCGAAATCCGTTAGTAAATTACATAAACATATATCCCTTATTGTAAGAAAAATCTAATTTTCAGGAACAGTCACACTATATCACACACTTCACCTTTGATAAATCAAAGTTGCTATGGGAACGATAGACTTACTCGTGCGTGGTAGATGCACTAACCTAGAACACTTCACAAAGCTTTATTAAATTCTGTCGAGGTTTATAAACCCTCACTCGATAAAAATCTACGAGTTTTGTATTTTTCTAAACTCTAAATTCGACACTTAACCAAGCTTCACCCCGGATTAACGACTCGTCTCGAATACAAAACACAGAGAATGGCTCCATTGTACGCTAGCCGAGGGTTCCGTTTAAACGTAGATAGTATTGTTTAACGTTTATAGTAGTGTTAAATTAACTTTACCACGTTATCGGTACGTGTTAATTATCTTACCTTACTTTCGCTCTCTTCCTCCTCCATGTCGCTGACACAACACTACTGTACGTGACTCGGCCTCTACTCAGTCACATCGATAACGGGCAGGTAAAAGTAACCACGTGCTAACTTCGTACTTTACGCAACGACACCGTAGGAAATCTAACCATTTTCAACGGACACGGCGTTAATCCTCCTCTTTTCGCCCGACTTCTGTACGGTATACGACCTTATTTGTTGGTCGTCACAAAGACATCGACCTGTCCTACCTACGTATATTTTATGACGTCACACGGCTTGATAGGGATCCCTATTCTATCTCGGTTGCCGGTGAGTCAAGTGTTCTAGAAAAATCCTAGCAGTTCCACTTAGTAACATGACGTGTAAGGCTATAGTAGTCAATCCAAATACTTCACATTTTTGATTAAATATATCATTTCGAATAAATAAACCGTGCAAAACAAACCCTCCACGTTAATTTTTTTCCTACATAATGTAGTGGAAAATAGGCTTTTATAGTATATAAAATTTGAAATAATCCCCTATACCGGTTTGAATACAAACAGAAATTGATAAAGATATAACTACGTTAAATTTATACGGAGGGGTCATATATTATCGGTACTTCAAAGCCTACAGTCTTATACATTTTTTGCTACACAGGAATTACCAATCATCGTGTGTAGTGTGTTTTACGATCGATACAAAGTTGGAAATTCATAAATCACTCAACAGATGGCGGGAGTTGAACAATAGTGAATGAAACTACTATCCAATTGTTTTTTCTTTCTTTCGTTTTTCGAAAATTAATTCCCGTCGTGGAGACATTCCGTAACATTATTTACATTCAGATATGTAACTTAATAAATTACACTTTATTTTGTTTTCCTTCGTAATCTATCAGTAAATAAGCAATTTCTTGCCTGCTTTGTTTCCCAGAAAATTTTCTAGAAAACAGAGTAATAATTAGGCACGTTGCGGCCCTAAATTATAACATACGACGGGCCCTTCACCTTCTACGTGCGTAATCGTTAGGCCTTAAGCTGTAACCTCGTTGAGCTTACGTGTAAGCGTGGCCCCGTCCGGAAGAGATATGTTAATTCATTTCAAAATGTAAGAAATCAAATTTTATAAAATGTTAAGGAAAAAAAAAACAATAGATAAGATGGAAAAATTCCCGAAGGGAAAATTGTTACTTAATAAAAATAATAATAATAATACATGCAGGCCTATATAAAGGTGAACAAGTCAAACGAGTGAATGAAGATCTTAGAAAATAAACAGTGATGCAACGGCTAAGAATCTCAAAGGAAAATATAGAGATAAATTTCATATTAAAAGAAAATTATCTTTCCTCTAATTAAATATAATTCAAACGAATTTATTTATTTTTTAAAACGTTTCGTAAGAGAAAATAAACGTTTAAACGAGATATAATGTAAATATTATTAGAATTTGTGTCGTTAAATAAATAAAAGATTACATTCCTTCGTAAATACAATCTTTATCTTTTAACTTATTTATATCGAATTTTTAAAGCCCCCGTTTAAATTCGCCGATGTTGAGATTATAAATTCATTTTAGTGAATTCGACACGTTGAAATCATTAAGCGTGTAAACGTAAAATGATTCTACGAGGTGATTCAAAAGCCTTTATGTGTAAGAAAGCGGTTTACTTTAGTATATAGTCACTTTTAAGTCACAGAATATGCTGTACGTGCACACGTATTACTAGAACATCCCGTGTTTTCTATAGAGAATTTTCGCCTGGAGTAGATGATTACAGACATTTTTATAGATTAAAAATATTTTTTAAAGTTTTTAAGCACTATTCTGTAGTGTGGAAAAACAATTAATTTGTTCTGTTTACAGAATGGCGCACGAAGCTCGTATTGAAAACAATAAAAAGACAGACATTTTTCTGAAATAACCGAAAATTATAAATATAAAACGACCCTGCAGATTACAGAAGGGGATGGAAGGACGTTAGGAATAAACTAAAATGTCGGATATAGTCATAGGAAGAAAAATAATTAAAACATTCCAGTCTGAACTGATTGAGGCCACACATTGTTTTCACTTTAGTCAACAGAACATCGCCATGACTGAGATTTCAATCTGCATTATTTTTGGCAGAATTGCTGCTTGTTCTGAAGAACTAACAAATTCATCTATTCAAAGAGACCAGACTTTGAAGAGTTCTTCTATTCTTTTCTAAGCGACTCATTTTTCTTTAAGGTGAATTAAAAAATAGGTCTTATTTTAAATTAAAATTAAATAATAGGAGCAAACTAATTGTTTTACGTATTTAAACTCAAATTTCGTCCCGTTTTCTCTCTCTTTTTTTAAAAACATTATTTCAGTTGTATCAAAGATAAAACTATTTTTAGAATATTTAAAAGGTTATTAAATCATTGCTATCTTATCGATATCGAAAAGAGGATTTTGGAAGTAATTCTTCTGTAATAATATAAGAGATTAGATAAGATTTCGTTTAAAATATAAATATTTATTTCTTTTATTTTTATTGGTATCGAAAAATAGACGTTTTAATCTATCTAAATATAGTAAATTTGAACTTTTGAGCCAGCAAAAACTTCTTTTGCGGTATCAATGAGATTAAAACGTAAAGAAAAGAAATGCCGTAGTGGAAACACTTATTTAGTTTTTGTATCACTTAAAGATGCTAATTTATAAGCATAATAATTACGTAAAACTTCGTATAAACTACCACCAACCTAATTAGGAATTTGACAGATTTATGCAACACGAATGGCTGAAAGCAATGTAATTGTTAAGGGATTTTATGTATTGTTAGAAATACACTAGTAGCGTATTTATGAACGAAAATTCCAGAAGATACTAATGCAACAATAACCGATCGCTTTGTTATTCCAACCGAAAAGGCCGAAGAGAGTTGGAATTGTGCCAACATTCCATATCTCGTTGGTCTTCAATAATGCGTTTTATGTGTCTGCCAGACTATACGGCACTACTCACTATCGAAATTTGCAGCTTTAAAGTATAAATTTTAACAAATAAGAGCGAATGGTTGGAGGGAGTAAGAGAATTAACTAGAACTGTTGAAAGTGAATTCATCGGAGGACAATTAGGACCGCTCTTGCACTTTTTCTACTTGCATTTCGGTTTTAACACGGGAAGGCACTCGATTTATCTTTTCAGAATTGTGTTACGAGGGTCGTTCGTGGTATCGATCATTTTAGTACGAATATACTAATTATTTAATGTATCTATTGCGTATTTCTTAGAGAAGACGGAGTTTAAAGATTCCCGGATAACAATGCATGTATTCTAAGTAAAACAGAGTTTGATCGTGACCTAACTTATGGTCTACTTCGTGAGTTTTTAAAAGTCCCGGAAACCTAGTTAGCTGAGTTTTCTCTTTCTGGTGTTGGATGTATGCCAATCTTAGCCAGTTTTGGTAATTAGATACACGCCGTGATTGCAATTAACTTTGGTGTGGACGATCTCGGGAGGTCGAGAGTCACGCGGTACGAAATAAAACGAATACTTTATAAAAAAGGGTGGTGTCTGCGTATACCTAATGAACCTTAAACAATAAGAACCGATACGAGTTGCAGTTTAGTTTTCAGTCTTTTAATTCTTCTACGGATGAAGCGTAAAATAACTGTGAAGCACGATTTATTCGATAAAATATAACTTTCTCTCTTCTACACTCAAATATTAGCACATAAACTAGAAGAATAACTAATTTTAAGTTATAAGGAAGTACTACATAACTTTAAGCTAATATAATTAAAGCGTAGTTAAAATTTTACAATAAGGTAGATGAATTTAGTAAGCTACAAGACTATAGAATTAATATAAATATATCAACGGCTCGTTTTTAAATTACTGGACTGGACTTTAAAAAATTCCGAAGGAATAAAATAGAAGAGTTTCGAAATTAACGTTAGGAAGTAAATAGCTTGCCTTGTGTTTTGACTTCCCATTGTTCCCTCTTCCTTTGAAAACACCAAACAGCGCTGCCTTCATTTGACTTTTCTCTCTGATTACGGACGGAGAAGCACATACAATCGAAACGAAGGATGGAGCGTTAATACCAAGCCCTCACCTCCATATAGCACTAGCTAGTCTCACATTGCGCCCTACACCGAAAATAAACTGCTTATTCACATTCACCCCCACCCACGTGACAAAGTTGCTGAGGAAACGAAGGAGATTGGGGTCAGATCCTATATACTAGCGACACTGACTCGAGTTGGAACCCAAAAACAGAGAGAGTGAGAGCATATTGCGTGGGTTGCTCGTTACTCGCGCTTATTTCTCAACCTTGACTATGGCTGTCACGTGTTTTACCGGTTTAATCATTGAAGAAGAAACGGGAATAAAAGCGGTTATGAAAATATGATGAATGGAAATATAAACTTGGAAAATAATGGATGTCACCTAAAATGGCGTGATAAGTCATTCACCTTAAAAGAACGAGCGACAAACTGTCATTGGAACGAGAACAATAGTCCGTAAAATTACAGCAATTACTTAACAGAATAAATGTTTATGACTATATAAGTGATTTCATAGAAAACTTTTCGTATACTTCAAGCTATTTTCCTGTTTAACTTAATGATAATCCAGTTGTTTAGTCTTTTTTAAAAATTACATAAACTATTCATTTGCGGTATGAGTCAGTTTATTTTTCAATTTGCATCATTCCCTTCCAATGTTTTAGTGACGAACATCGAAAGAAAATAAACTATTTCATTACTTCATATTTTTTGGCAAGAGGAAAACCTGGCAAAGATTTAAATCTATAACTAAAAGTTTATGAAGACTAACATTTTATTTGCGTATACTCTTTTTAAATGTGTTTTCCTTGGAAAAATCATGTCTAAAAGTTAAAAAAAACTTACCTGAATGTTGATATCAATTGTTCATATCCTAAAAAATTTAAGGGTGAAAATTAATTATATTATTTACGAGAATAATTTAAATAATCAAATAAGCAGAATTAGTTAAATTTTGGACAATTTAGTAGAATTTTTGGGTATTTTTAACATAAAAAAAAAGCAGGATAAATTGAGAAATCTCTATTAGATTAGTCCAAATTACCAGACTTTTTTTTTAAAAATCAGGTGATTGATAATATTTAAAACAATATCTGTGCCAATTTTAAACTTTGGAATACCTTTAGAATTGGCTAGGAATCAATCACTGGTCCCAGATCATTATATTTTTAGTCTGCAAAGGTTAAAATATTATTTAAATATAAGTAACATTTTTATATTAATTAATGCACTTATTATAAATCGAATTGTTTTNAAAAAAAAACTGGTAATGAACCGCACCCCGGCCAGACTGGCGTCAACGATGCAACCTTTTTTTTGTTTTGTTTTTTTTTTTTTTAAATTTTTTATTCTCACCGGCTTTTCTGTTTTAAATGCGTGATTACCGGAGATATTTCAAAAGTAAGTATTATAACTATACGCTAAAAGAATCGCAAATATGTGTCAATATCGTGTCACAATTTGCTCGGCGACAAGGACCACGTGCAACGTGGGCACAGCCCCGACAACTCCACCCTTCCTGTGTTTTCATCCTAGACAACGCCTGTGTCCTTTCACCCTCTTTGGAAGTTCTTTTTCGAAACATTGCGGAAGATATTTTAAATGTAAATAAATTGTTTCTATGTTCCGTTGTAGCTGTAACGCCATTCGTCGCCGTAGCCACGTAGCAGAGTTCAAAGGTCGTTATTGACGAAAAAAATAAATAAATATTAAGAAAACAAATACGTTAGCAGAAAATTTCTGATATATTTGCACGTTAATTGCCGCGATGAGTTTTCATTTTTAGTTTCGACCATATTGTTTTGTACTCTTATACTTCTGCGAAGAATTACAAAGGAATTATTAACTATAACGTCACAATGACGCAAAATGTGTATTATGATCATCGAATTTCGAGTTGTTTTGAACGTTTCGAATTTAAAAAATAAAAAGATTAATGCACTCGTAGGTATTTTTATAACACTATGCACAGATGAATTATCTAAAACATAACATTTACAGTATGTAAATATAGGTAAACACACGGGAGTTCAAGCCTGTTAAAGGTATGGCGGGACCAAACAAATGGCCTGTACCCCTCGTTACAGGAACTGGTTACGTGTGGCGAGAATTTAAAAAAAAATTGTTCAATAAGTACTTTAGAATAGTAAAATACTAACAACGTCTGTCCATTTTATTACCTTAAATTTTTCACTCGAATTTATTTTTAAATAAATGATACGTCTATTTATTTTGAATATTATACGTATTCAATTTCGAACTGTCAGCATATTAAAATGAAGCAGACATCATCTGTCATTGTATTCCAGTTTGGATAATAATATTAACAACAATACTTACTTTGTCATAAACATGGTGTAAATTTAATTAAAATCAATAATTCATGCCCAAGTTAAAAATTCGGTAAAAAAATCTAAAATCGATAATCGAAATCCGTTAGTAAATTACATAAACATATATCCCTTATTGTAAGAAAAATCTAATTTTCAGGAACAGTCACACTATATCACACACTTCACCTTTGATAAATCAAAGTTGCTATGGGAACGATAGACTTACTCGTGCGTGGTAGATGCACTAACCTAGAACACTTCACAAAGCTTTATTAAATTCTGTCGAGGTTTATAAACCCTCACTCGATAAAAATCTACGAGTTTTGTATTTTTCTAAACTCTAAATTCGACACTTAACCAAGCTTCACCCCGGATTAACGACTCGTCTCGAATACAAAACACAGAGAATGGCTCCATTGTACGCTAGCCGAGGGTTCCGTTTAAACGTAGATAGTATTGTTTAACGTTTATAGTAGTGTTAAATTAACTTTACCACGTTATCGGTACGTGTTAATTATCTTACCTTACTTTCGCTCTCTTCCTCCTCCATGTCGCTGACACAACACTACTGTACGTGACTCGGCCTCTACTCAGTCACATCGATAACGGGCAGGTAAAAGTAACCACGTGCTAACTTCGTACTTTACGCAACGACACCGTAGGAAATCTAACCATTTTCAACGGACACGGCGTTAATCCTCCTCTTTTCGCCCGACTTCTGTACGGTATACGACCTTATTTGTTGGTCGTCACAAAGACATCGACCTGTCCTACCTACGTATATTTTATGACGTCACACGGCTTGATAGGGATCCCTATTCTATCTCGGTTGCCGGTGAGTCAAGTGTTCTAGAAAAATCCTAGCAGTTCCACTTAGTAACATGACGTGTAAGGCTATAGTAGTCAATCCAAATACTTCACATTTTTGATTAAATATATCATTTCGAATAAATAAACCGTGCAAAACAAACCCTCCACGTTAATTTTTTTCCTACATAATGTAGTGGAAAATAGGCTTTTATAGTATATAAAATTTGAAATAATCCCCTATACCGGTTTGAATACAAACAGAAATTGATAAAGATATAACTACGTTAAATTTATACGGAGGGGTCATATATTATCGGTACTTCAAAGCCTACAGTCTTATACATTTTTTGCTACACGGGAATTACCAATCATCGTGTGTAGTGTGTTTTACGATCGATACAAAGTTGGAAATTCATAAATCACTCAACAGATGGCGGGAGTTGAACAATAGTGAATGAAACTACTATCCAATTGTTTTTTCTTTCTTTCGTTTTTCGAAAATTAATTCCTGTCGTGGAGACATTCCGTAACATTATTTACATTCAGATATGTAACTTAATAAATTACACTTTATTTTGTTTTCCTTCGTAATCTATCAGTAAATAAGCAATTTCTTGCCTGCTTTGTTTCCCAGAAAATTTTCTAGAAAACAGAGTAATAATTAGGCACGTTGCGGCCCTAAATTATAACATACGACGGGCCCTTCACCTTCTACGTGCGTAATCGTTAGGCCTTAAGCTGTAACCTCGTTGAATTTACGTGTAAGCGTGGCCCCGTCCGGAAGAGATATGTTAATTCATTTCAAAATGTAAGAAATCAAATTTTATAAAATGTTAAGGAAAAAAAACAATAGATAAGATGGAAAAATTCCCGAAGGGAAAATTGTTACTTAATAAAAATAATAATAATAATACATACAGGCCTATATAAAGGTGAACAAGTCAAACGAGTGAATGAAGATCTTAGAAAATAAACAGTGATGCAACGGCTAAGAATCTCAAAGGAAAATATAGAGATAAATTTCATATTAAAAGAAAATTATCTTTCCTCTAATTAAATATAATTCAAACGAATTTATTTATTTTTTAAAACGTTTCGTAAGAGAAAATAAACGTTTAAACGAGATATAATGTAAATATTATTAGAATTTGTGTCGTTAAATAAATAAAAGATTACATTCCTTCGTAAATACAATCTTTATCTTTTAACTTATTTATATCGAATTTTTAAAGCCCCCGTTTAAATTCGCCGATGTTGAGATTATAAATTCATTTTAGTGAATTCGACACGTTGAAATCATTAAGCGTGTAAACGTAAAATGATTCTACGAGGTGATTCAAAAGCCTTTATGTGTAAGAAAGCGGTTTACTTTAGTATATAGTCACTTTTAAGTCACAGAATATGCTGTACGTGCACACGTATTACTAGAACATCCCGTGTTTTCTATGGAGAATTTTCGCCTGGAGTAGATGATTACAGACATTTTTATAGATTAAAAATATTTTTTAAAGTTTTTAAGCACTATTCTGTAGTGTGGAAAAACAATTAATTTGTTCTGTTTACAGAATGGCGCACGAAGCTCGTATTGAAAACAATAAAAAGACAGACATTTTTCTGAAATAACCGAAAATTATAAATATAAAACGACCCTGCAGATTACAGAAGGGGATGGAAGGACGTTAGGAATAAACTAAAATGTCGGA